TGTTTCCAGTTTCTATCTGTACCAGTGTACATCCTCTGGTCTAGCAGGATCTGTAAGGTAGAACTGGGATCATGATAGTGGGAGGAGGAGCATTTAGGAACTACAGGAAAGTTGCATGTTTCATCGTTGCTACACTGCACCCTGACTTGCTCTTCTCCTCCTCCCTGTGGCCCTTCTGTAAGGGGATGTCCAGTTTCCTACAGATGGGCTTTGAGTCCCAACTCCGCACTCCCCCTCAGGATATGATTCACAATGATATGATTTTTTGTTCTTGGATACCTGATCCCATCGACCCCTCATGATCACACAGGCTGGTGTGCTTCTTCCATGTGGACTTTGTTGCTTCTCAGTTAGGTGGCTGCTTGTTTATCTTCAAGCCTTTAAGACACCAGCCTCCATATCTTTTGATAGCTGGGTACCATCACCTTACTTCACCACATTTACTTATGCACCCACTTTGTCTTCAGCGATTTTGTCGGGAAGGTGATCATCATGGAATGCCAGTTTACTAGAACAAACTGTTCTTGCATTGAGGGAGTACTTGAGTAGAGGCCCAATATCCATCTGCTACCTTAATACTAAACCTATAAATATATACATAGTCATTTCCCCATCATCATATATAAATATATTTACACATGTGCATGCCTATATTTAGACCTCTATAAATGCCCTTTGCCTCCTAGTTCTTTCCTCTATTTCCTTTTACTTTCCTAATACTTTCCCCTTGTCCCAGTATTATGTTCGGCCTTTATTTGGGTTTCATTAATTCCTTGCAGTTACTTTGCCCTTAAGCCCCACTAGGCATCCTATACCCTTCTCTTCAACGATTTTAGTTTACTTCTTGTTGGGTTGGTTGACATCCCCCTTCCTTTCTTCCCCCTCCCCCTCTGATGCCTATCTTACATACATAGGTAAATCATCTATGACATAGACCAAACAAAAAGAAAACAGAAGATTGAAAGTAGAAAAGGAGAGAGAAAACATATACGTAATTCCAGGTCTGTTCGCTGACCTTTCATGACTATTTCCCCACTGGTCAAGGGGACCTCTGAGCGCTGTCCCTCCCAACCTGAAGTCCTTTTGGGGGGCTCTTCAGGGGCTTCGTAGCTTTGCTTTGCTTTACTCCTGGTGCTAATCTGTTATGTTCCCTTCTTAGTCACCCTGCTGTGGGGGTTCAGACAGCACTACACCCCCCTCCCTGTGTAACCCCAGAATTGTCCTGTTGCAGTTTTCTCCAGTAAGGGGACAATATGACATGAGCTGTTGTGGGCCCCACAGTCCCCTCTGTGTCCCAGCAGCTCCCCACGGACATCATCCTCCAGGCCTGGTGTGCCAGCATGGGGCCCAGGCTGGCTGTCCCTTTCTCTTCTTCCTTCCTGGTCTGCTTCCGTGTGGGCATGGAATGCTGGCTCCTCTCCCCAACTTCTGTCACATATATTTCTAGGGAGTGGCTAACTTAATTTGAAAAATGAGCTGGTATCAAGGGCTTAAGTAGAAAGAAAATGTTTTGAAAAAGATAATGGCAACATATGTACAAATGTGCTTGACACAATTGATATATGTATGGATTGCGTTAAGAGCTGTATGAGCCCCCAATAAAATGATTTTTTTTTAAAAAGTGCAAAATGCCCTGAGTCCAAAAAGTTTGGGAATTGCTGCACCAAATCATCCTTGGCTAACAAATTCAGTATTTTATTTTCACACGTAGAACTAGAAGAAATAAACCTTTTATTTCTACACATACACTTGGCAAAAAATGACTTCACATGTGATCTTGAGCACACTATTCCTAATTAGTTGCACTTGATTTTTTAAAAAGAAGTGGATGCTTGCCACCAGATGGTTTCTTTAATACTGTTAGTTGCTATCAAATGCATTCTGACTCCTGGTGATTCCCATACGTGCTAAGTAGAACTATCCCATAGGGTTTCAAGCGCTGTAAATTTCAAAACCAGATTGATTGCCAGGCCAAAATAAGCCTGTCAAGGTACCTTTACCTTAATCCACTATCCTAAACAAGTTTTCTCTAGTTTCAAACCACCCTAGTGACTGATGCTTCAAAGATTCCAATGCAGTGCTGTAAGGGGCCGGGGATGTCTTCCAAACGAATATAACAAATTATTTCTTGCGTTTAAAAATCTAATGAATGTATGGTATTTGGCGACGGAAAGAAAGAAGGCAAAGCGGGAAACAGTTTTCAAGGTGGATTACAGAGCTCCCAGGCGAGGTTCCCGGGTCCCCGGTGGGGGCCCGCCTCGTCCAAGTCGCGCGCTCTCCGGGGCGAGAAAGGGGAGGTGAGGGGTTTTATAGGTCCGGGCTGGGGGAGGGAGTCGCTGGGGAACTTCCCACTGCGGTTTGGCTGTCTGGCAAGGTGGGCAGCGAGCCGCACAGGAACAACGCGCTCTCGGGATCCGCCGTCAGTCCGCGGGAGGAAGGCCACCCGCAGGAGCGGGTGCGCACCGGGGACGGGGAGTGCTCCACTTGCCTGCCCCACCAGCTCCCGTTTCTGCCTAAGCCATCACGTTCGCAGAAGTCATCGCCACTGCAACCCCGAAAAGCGTTGAGATCTTGTCCTAAGAGCTGTAAGAGCCCCCAATAAAATGATCTTTAAATAAAATTTTTAAGGCACTGAGTTCAGAGACGCCTCGACGTCCGCACGGACACGCCCGGAACCGCTGCCTTTAACCGATTGGCTGAGCACTACCAGGCCACAGAGGACTATTGGCTGGCTGTCAGCAGGCCACAGGCGCCAGCCAATACCATCTCTTTCCTGGTCCCCCGCCTACTCCTCCCCGTGACGGAATGCCAGCACCGTAGGTCAAGCAAATTGAAGTCTTTCCTCCTCGGGACAGTTAGGACTTCCGGTTGGGGGCGTAGGTGTCTACAGTCTTGCTTTTCTACACCGCGATCCTTCCCTGCTTTGCCACGGGCCGCAGAGGCCGCCCGGAGCGCAGGTGGAGGTTGGGGGTTGGGCGCGAGCAGCGGTTTTTTCCACGGAGGTAAGCCCCGCCCTCGCCAGGGGTGGCACCATCAGGCGATATGCTACGTCACGCGCGGGCCTGCGCACGATTGGCCGCAGCGAGGATGTGGTGCGGTTGGTCTGCAGGAGCGCTGGCTCCGGCGGTTGGGCGCCCGGCCAGGGGCGGCGCCTGGGGGCGTGGCCTACGTGCTGGGGATGCCGCCGGCCGGCGAGGCGCGGCACAGCGTGCGCTGCCTGCAGTAGCTTTGGTTGCTGACCTTCGAGACGGCATTGTCGCCTGCATCGGGAACGCGGAGTTCAGGTATGGGCCACCGGGTCTCCAGGTTCAGCCTGCTCTCTTGAAAGACGTGGGATGGGGAATGGGAGAAGGGACGCAGCGGGGTTCCGCTGGGGGTCGCTTTCCCTAGAGCTTCGGCGTCGAGTTTTGGAGGTTGGCGGTGAGCGCTGCGAGGGGCTGAGTGGAGAGCCCGCCTGTCGCCCAGGGAGACGGAAGCCCTGGGCGAGGAGGGGTGATACTGACTGCCTCTCTTGACAGCACAGGATGCTTAGTGCGAAAGGCATGCTCTCTCTGATAAACGACATCACAACCAAGTGTACAGGATCAACAATAATTAAACCCATCCCAATTTGATTTTTAAATCCTAGAACAATACTGCATGTCGGGGAAATCTAAGATGCTCGTACATTAAATGCTCCTGCCTCCACTCTACATTTATTCAAAACACTGTTTACTAAGCAGTGATTAATAATGCATGGGCCAAGCGGGGAGTGAGGGGCATCAGAGCCCGGGAGAGAGTGTTAAGTTAGGTACTCATTTAGAAACCAGGATTGGGAAGGTGAAGGCGTTCCCAGATGGGTGGTGAGTGCGCTACGCGTTGTGAATGCAGACGCTGGGAAGCTGGGTGGAAGCCCAATTGGAGCCTCTGAGCTAGCAACTATCGGGGAAGGAGGAGAGCGAATTGCTTGGTGGTAGCACTTGAAGTACGTGATTGGAAATTCTTATTGCCTTTGGTGTCCTTAGTGTTTACTGAGGCTTTTGGTCAGAAAGGTCTTTGGTGGTGGTGGTGCTTGGGGAATTTGACTTCCAGAAAGGCTTGAAAATCTGGTTTACACTAGCGGGAGAGACACCTCCCTGTTCTGGTTAAATAGGTCATTGTACCAAATTTTCTTTCTGCTAGTTTAAGAAATGGTATGCAGATTTTATGATTGGTAAATGACCTACGACCTTTTTTTTTTTTTTTTAACGTACATCTTTTTAAAATTTTTGGGTGGTTTTTGGTTTTCTTTACAATACTGTCTTCTTTGTTCACAGTAGTATCTTCAGAAAGTATTAAACTTTTCTTGTAAGATTGGACTTTATTTAAAATATGCAACATAAGAGCATCACTCAATAAATGTTTACTAGTATCATTTAAAAGGCTGTTCACATAATACACTGCATGTGCAGTATCTTTAGGTTTACATTTTAAACTCTTGATGATGCATAACATCAGGTAAAGGACGCTGCTCTATTAAGCTAATCAAGATTAAGAAATGCAATTATCGAACTCTTTACCTGTATAGACACACAGTAAACTCATTGGATCTTTTGTGAAAATTCTTCCCTAAGCTTGTGGCTTACCACTACCTTAAGCTTTTTTTCAACGCCATTTTCATGAGTTTAAACCCAAAGTTAAATACCAGCCCTGGGAAAAAGATGAGGCTTTCTGCTCCTGTAAAGATTTACAGTTTTGGAACCCCACAGGGGCTATTCTACTAAGTCCTATATGGTTACTGTAAGTCAGAATTGACTCAATAGCAGTGCGTTTGGTGGGTTTGTGTGTTTTTGTGTGGCTGAGGCTTGAGGATGCTATAAAAGGCAGAATGGATGCTAAGTCTTCATAGAAAAAGTTGGGGGAGCACTGCTTAAGGCAATCCTTGAATGTAAGACTTCAGTTTTCTCATACATCTAGAGTGGATTTTGTGCCTTTTGAAAAATGGAGAAAGCAGTCACTCAAATTATCATTTTCTCGTTAGGAACCAGGTTGGGAAAGTACAGATTAAAATTTACTGGGATATTGAATGTTGGGCACATGAATTGGGCCTTGAGAAAGGCATTTCAACAGGTTGGGGTAGCTTTTTTGAACAACAGAAGCAGAACAGCAAAGCATGTTGGGAACAACCTTAGGAAAGCATAATGGAGGGGTTTAGAAGCTCTGGTAGAAAAACAGGGTGCCATATTAGGATGGGGCTAGCGCTTCGACAGACAACTTCCAATAGGGAAGAAAAGTGTGTAAATGGAAAGAGATGGACTATATCATGTGCTGCAGAGGGTTATATAGAACAAGAATTGAAAGAATATAGGTTGCTAATTGACCTATGGTGAGAGGCCAACTGTGAATGTCCATGGGAGGAGAGATGACCAGGCCGGGGCTAAACAGTGGGCCACAGTATTGACAGGAACAAAGAGCAGGGACACTGCAGACAGGAGCAGCAGGTAGCATAATCCCACACCCTGTTTTGAAATGGCTGGCTTGCTTGCTGCATGCAGAAATCAATCATTGCTTCCCTGAAATATTTTTATGATGTCTTGGTGGTGAAAGCAGGTAGCATCCATGGCTGCTAACTTTGAGAGCCACCCAGAGGTTCCTTGCCCCCCCCCCCCCCCCAAAAAAAAAAGAAAGCCTCCTGATCTGCTTCTGCAAATCCAGCCATTGCTAGTCCTGTGGAGCCCAGCTCTCCTGTGGGCTCACCAGGAGTCAGGATCAACTCCTGGTTAATTGTTATGTTTAACTGGCCTTCAAAGAGATGTGAAATAATAGCCTTTCTTTCTCTTTACTTTAGACCTTTTGGACAGATCAGATATATTGTCACGATGCCTGAAATAAATACTGACCATCTCGATGAGCAACAGGTTCAACTTCTGGCTGAGATGTGTATTCTCATTGATGAAAATGACAACAAAATTGGGGCTGAGACGAAAAAGAATTGTCATCTGAATGAAAACATTGAAAAAAAAGGTACTGTTTAAAAATACTTTCAGGTTATCTCAGAAAGGTAAGCTGGTAAACGAAAGAGCTTCTCAGTTATTTGGTATTTTATCTTTGGCTCCAGTTAAAAGTAATGGATTAGTAACATCTACATTGGTCTCTGCATTTTATGTGTCTTTTACTCAATTCCTTCTGGGTTATTTTGTAAAAGAGAAAATAAACTAATCCAACAAACTTTCCAGTGACTCAAGAGCGTGAAAAGAAGGGGAGGAGTCTTTGCAGGGGTAGAAGACTGAAGGAGCCTCAGCTGAAAATCCCAGAAAGGACGTGTGACCAGCAGCAGAGCTGGCAACCGATTCCCGTTTCTTTTCCTGGTGGCTGACCTTCTTGTGCCTGTGGTGCCAGACCTCCTCCCCATTGTAACCACACAGTTGTTAGTGAGTCAGGGGCCGGCTTCGTAGCAACCCTTTATAGAACTAACACTACCCATTCCTACCATCCTCAGTTTTTGTGTTTGAGCCCATTGTGCAGCAACAGTCAGTCCATCCTATTAGTGAGCCTCTACCAAACATGATAGCCTTCTCCAGGGTTTGGTCCCTTCTGATAATAGGCCCACATTCACCATCCTTACTTCTAAGCATTCCAGCTGTACTTCTTCTGGCAGTTTGCTATATTGTCAGTGTTCTTTGCCAGCACTGTTATTCCTTCAGTCTTCCTTATTCATTGTCCAGCATTTGCATGTGATTGAAAATACCTTGGCTTGACTTAGGTGCACCCTAGTCCTCAAAGAGACATCTTTGCTTTTTAACAATTTAAAGAGGCCTTTGCAGCAGATTTTCTCAGAGCAATGTCATTTGATTCCCTGACTGAGGCTGGCCTAGGCTTGATTGTGGATCTGTTTATCCTAATGTTCCTTATTGGTCCAGTTGTGAGAATTTTTGTTTTATTTTGAGATGTGATCCATACTGAAGGCTGTAGCCTCGAATCTTCAGTCAGTGCTTCAAGTCTTCTTTGCTTTGACCGAGCAGTATTGTGTCATCTTGCTGACAAGGTGTTAATAGTGCTCCAGTCCTGATGCTGGGTTCTTCAGACAGTTCAACTTCTCAGATTACTTGCTCAGAATGCAGATCAAATAAGGTCAGTGAAAGGATATAACCCTGACACACCATTCCTGATTTTCAATGATGCAGTATCCCCTTGAGGTGTTCCAGTGACTGCCTCTTGGTTTACATACAGATTGCACATGAGCACAATTAAGTGTTCTTAAATTCTTATTGTTCACAATGTTATTCATTATGTGCTATGATCACACAATTGAAGATCTTTGCATAGTTAATCAGGCACAAGTAAACACATATCAGGTAATCTCTGCTGTCAGCCAAGGTACATATAAATCACCTTTGATAGCCCTCTTACCACATTCTCTTCTGAATCTAGCTTGAATTTCTGGCAGTTCCTGTCAATATACTGCTTCTCAAAAGAAAACCACTTTTGAGTTACCTTCAGTAAAATTGTACTTGTGTATAGTGTTAATGATATTGTTTAATAATGTCTGCATCATGTTGGATCACCCTTCTTTGGGATGGGCCTGATTATGGATCCCTTCCAGTTGGTTGGCCAGGCAGCTGTCTTCCCAATTTCTTGGAACCTTAGTGTGGGTGAACCTTGTTTTCTGGGCAGTTTGGATTTCTTCCTCCTGTGCCGTTGGTTCTTGATTGCATGGTATCTCCTGGAATGATTGGCTGCTGACGCATCCTTTCGGGTTCAGAATTCCTTCATCTTTTGATATGGTCTGCCTCATTCAGTGTTTGTGCCCATACCAGGGGTCCTCAAACTTTTTAAACGGGGCCAGTTCACTGTCCCTCAGACCCGTTGGAGGGCCAGACTATAGTTTTTTAAAAAACTATGAACAAATTCCTATGCACACTGCACATATCTTATTTTGAAGTAAAAAACAAAATGGGGCAAAAACACCCAGCGGGCCGGATAAATGTCCTCTGCGGGCCACAATTTGAGGACCCCTGTGACCAAACCCACTGTTGTCAGATCTGACTCATGAGTTTAGCGCAGAGTCCTTCAATATTATAACGTGAGACTTGGACGTTCATCGGTTCTGTAAGTTTGAGAAGTGTCCATTTTGGTTTTCCCACTCCAGGTTTTTGCACATTTCATTATAATACATTACTTTGTATTTTCAAGCTGCCCTTTGAAATAATCTTTTTTAAAGCATCATTTCTTTTTATCCTTTGGTTAAAATTTGTGTCATGCTTCTCTGTATATTTCTGGTGTTGTCATATTTACTTGATATTAGGTTTACTTTCATCTCCGTTCTGTTCAGCTCATCATCCTGTCTTCCATTCCCTTTGGCTTCTATACATTCAAGAGCAAACTTCCGAGTGTCTTCTGGCATCCAGTTGGGTTGTCTCTTTCTTTCCTTTTGTTTTAGTGACATTTCTTCTTTCATGATGTCTTTCCACAACTCGTCTTTTATCATTAATGTTCATTGCAAATCTAGATATTGTGTCTAAATTCAAGTGGGATCTACTCGAAGTTATACTTTGGCTCTCATGGGCTTTCTTCAGCTAGAACTTGCATACAACCAAGTTATGGTCTGTTCAACAGTCAGCGCCTAGACTTGTTCAGACCACTAATGTTGAGCCCTCTACATTGTCTCTTTCCACAGATACAGTCAGTTTGATTCCTATACTCTTTGGGAGGTCCACGTATGTTATGCTAGTTTGTTGAAAAAAGACAGTTTTAATGAATACGTCGGTCTTGGAAAATTCTATCATGTGATTTCAACTACTAATCTTCCTTTGTTTCCAACTTTTGCCTTCCGCACACTAGTAGTTCAATGTATCTTGGTTGCATATTTGATCAGTTTTAAGTTATAGAAGTTGGTAACATTTCCTCATGTTTGCTATTCGTGGTTGGTTTGTATATTTGAATAATAGTTGGATTAACTGATCTTTGGGTGCATCTGGATATCATTTTATCACTAATAGCATTGTACTTTAGGGTGTATGTTGATGAATTCAGTGCTATTCCTCTTCAATTAGTCATTTCCAACACAGTATAATACATGATTATCTAATTCAGAATGGCCAGTACCAATCCATTTCAGCTTCCTAAAGGATATCAATCTATGCATTTTAGTTCATTTTTTATTTAGTTAATTTTCCTAGACTTATACTTGTACAGTCCACATTCCAATTATCAATGAATGTTTACAGCTGTTTCTATTCATTTTGATCTGTGATACATCAGCAAATGAAGGTCCCAAGAGCTTTTTACTCTATCCATATCATTAAGTGAGATTTTCTTTGAAGACACAGTATCTCCAATTTTATTTTGCTTGCCTTCTGAAGGGCTCATCTTTTGGCACAAGATCAGACAATGTTCTGCTGCTGGCCATAAAGTTTTCAGTGGCAAATTTTTCAGAAGTGAGCTGCCTCTTCCATCTTTCTAATCTGTCCTAGTATGGAAACTCTGCTGAAATGCTTACGCCATAGGTGACCTTACTGATATTTGAAATACAGGTAACACAGCTTTTATCATCACAGCAACACACGTGGCCTGACCAGCAGTGGCAACCTTGCCGTGCCTTACTCAAAACTATGACTATGGGTAGAAAAGTTCAATGGCAGCTGCTTACTAATATTATTAACTCCCAGGGGGAAATGAAACAAATCACTGACATTTAAAAATCAAAATAATGGAATTTCTTTTGCCTCCAGGATTATTGCATCGAGCTTTTAGTGTTTTCTTATTTAACACAGAAAACAAACTCCTACTTCAGCAGAGATCAGATGCTAAAATTACCTTTCCAGGTTAGTATGCTTAATATTGCAATGTATTGGTATTATAAATGAATTAATCCTTGTGGGTGGGGAAAAGGATTTTTAGAACTGTATTAGAAGTAAATTTTCTTGCTTTTTCTAAGAATTCTGTTACTTGTTCTTTTTCTATAGAATAGTTTTCCTTGGCCAAATTAAGTACGTTTAGATGCTTAAGTAAAGAGGACATAAAGTAGTTGAAACTTTTAAAATAAAACTTTAAAACTATTAAAATGCAACTTGGTATGTAAAATGAGAAAGAAAAAGAAGGAGATAAACATGTACTGGGGTCCTGCTTGGTAAATGGCACACAGAATGATTATCAGCTTCTGTGCTTGCACAGCTGCACGTAGACTGAAATTGGGGGAACGATCCAGAGAAGACAGCCTGGCCCCTGTGCAAGGGTGACCTGCAAGTCTGTGAAGCGTTCCGTGTTTTGGCGGCTGTATGCTTGCTTGCCTTCTTAGGGAATTTTCTTTTATTGTCTAGTGGCAAAGAAGCCATAAAACAAACTGTAACTTACACTGTAGTTTCAAAGACGATTTTCCATTGTGTCTTTCGTGTGATTTTATTTATTAAAACAGTCTAGGCTTGCCTCTGAAAGAAAAAAAAATTCTCGTTTTCCAATTAAGCTTAATGAAATAATTTCCTCTTCTGTATTTAAAAACTTTATACAGGGAGTGGAACCTAATGTGGCAGCAGTAAAGAATAAGAGCTGGGGGGTTGGGCGGGGATAGGGTATGTTATGTATGTGTATAGTTACATGTATACTATTTGCAGCATCACATTCTGATTTTCTTTTTGGGTAGTCGTTAAGAACTTTTTTAAGACCAAAAAAAAGAACTTATCTACAGTTGTCTTTTTTTTACAAAATGACTATTTTGTAAAGCATTATAACATTTTAAAACACTAAAGAATTATTTTTGTTTTTAACAGCATTAGATTTCTTGATCTTTTAGACATATTTTAAAGAAAAATTCATTTCTACCTATGTTAATGTTTTCCAGGTTATTTTACCAATACTTGTTGTAGTCATCCATTAAGTAATCCAGGAGAACTTGAAGAAAATGATGCAATTGGAGTAAGACGAGCAGCACAGAGGCGTTTAAAAGCTGAGCTAGGAATTCCCACAGAAGAGGTAACTGATGTTACCGTGCATAAAAACCATACAAGTTAGCATTTAAACGTACATTTTAAAAATACTTTATATCCATGCAAAAGGAGGGTTGAAGTGGGGACCTAAAGCCCATCTGTAGACAATTAGACATCTCCCCACAGAAGAGGGTTACAAGGAAGGGACAATTCAACCAAGGTGCACTGTAGCACCGACGATACACACATCAATCCTTTAGCTCCTGAAGGCTTCCTTTCCCCCACTACCATGACCCAGTTCTACCTTACAAATCAGACGAGACCGGAGTACACTCATTGGTACGGATTAGAGATTTAGACACATGGAATTCAGGACAGATAAAACCCTCAGGAACAGTAGTGGGAGTAGCAATATCATGGGGACTGGGCAGTGGAGCCCATCACAAGGTTAGATATATAGCCTCCCTGAGGGGGACAAATGACAGAAATGTGGGTGAAGGGAGACAATGGACAGTTTAAGGCACAAAATAGCAATATTAATATATAATTGATAAGGATTCACAAGGGAGGTAAGGGAAAAAAGAGGAGCTGATACCAAGAGCTCAAGTAGAAAGAAAATGTTTGTTCTAGAAATGTTGATGGCAACATATGTACAAGTGGGCTTAATACATCTGAATGATGGATTGTTATAAGATTTGTAAAGCCCCCCCAATAAAAAAATAAAATAAATATACTTTGTCTAAATACTCTGTCATATACATGTACATATGCCTTTTCTCAACAGTATTTTAAATTCTATATCATTGGCTATATTAATATCAATAGGACTATCATCTGCCACATGGGAATGATTTATAATGTTTCCCAATAAAATGATAAGGCTGTCTCTAAAGTAGACCCAAGAAATGTATAAATCATAGATATATAAATGAATTTTGAGCTCACACGTAATCATGGCCATAATCTAAGACCAATTAATTATTTTTTTAAAACATTTTATTAGGGGCTCATACAACTCTTATCACAATCCATACACACATCAATTGTGTACAGCGCATTTGTACTTCATTCTCAAAACATTTTCTCTCCACTTAAACCCCCGACATTAGGTCCTCATTCCAATTAATTCTTATAAATGTGGCCCTAAACAATACTTGCCCTCATGAGGAGATCATTAAAGATGTGAGTACTATAAAAGAGTTGGTGAAAATCCGATGGTGCCCAGCTATGAGAAGAATAGTGTCTGGGGTCTTAAAGGCTTGTCTTAAAACAAGCAGCCAGTCTGTGTAATATAAGGATTATAAATAATTAAATCCAAGACCAGAGGAGGGAACTGTATTAGAACTCAAAATGTGAACACCTGATTTGCAGAAGGCGATGGATGACACTCAATGCCCAGTGGACATTTGTAAGGTCACCACATAGATTAAGCCTCTGGGATTCCCTTTCTGTCACTGACCAGGGTTGCGACTAGCCTGCTCTCACACAGAGTGTACTGGAAAGTGGATTATTGGAGATGACCTGTGGAGTTAATAATAAGTTAGTTCCAGAAAACACCTTGAATAAAGATTATGTAAATTTTACTTAGCATTACTCACTGTGAATCAGAATAAATTTTATGATGTTGAATTTCATTGAGTTTAATGGAATTTAGCTCAATCTTTGGAACTAAATGTAGGGCTGACAACTATTATTAGGAAAATTGAAATCTTTTTTCTGGTAATATTCCAATAAAGATTTCTGAATATTTAAATTATCTCATCTTGTTAAAATGGTAAGTTACTATCCAAAAAAGTGATTATATTTCTTTGATCTGCTGCTATTTTTTAAAAAATCAAGATACAAAGGGATTTTTTTAAAGTTCATGGAAAAACTCCATTATCTTTTATAAATGTTATATAAACATTTTATTGGGGGCTCTTAGAGCTCTTGTAACAATCCATACATCAATCCTATCAAGCAATTTGTGCATATGTTGCCATCATCAGTTCCAAAACATTTTCTACTTGAGCCCTTGGTGTCAGCTCCTCTTCCCCCCACCACCACCACCACCACTCCTCCCACCCTTGTGGCTCCTTGATAAATTATAAATTATTATTTTCATATCTTACATCAACTGCTGTCTAACTTTCCCCACGTTTTTCTGGTCATCCCCTGGGGTGAGGGTGGGGGATGTGGTTATGTGTTGATCATCAAGATTGGTTCTTCCCCTCCTTTCCCCACCTTCCCCCTAACCTCCTGGTATTGCTACAACTGCTCCTGGATTCTGTGTGTTGTGAGTTCTTATGTCTTATCTGTACCTGTACACATGCTCCAGTCTAGCCCGCCATGAAAGACAGTACTAGGGTCATAGCATAAGGGAGTCTCAAGGAACCAGAAGAGTATTGTGTGTTTTATTGGTGCTTTACTGCACCCTGATTGACTCATCCCTTCCCTGTGACCCCTCTGTGAAGGGGATGTCCCAGCACTTTGTCTACAGATGGGCTTTGGGTCTCTGCTCCTAACCCCCATCATTCTCAATAATGGTTTTGTTTGTTTGTTTTTGGGTCTTCTGATGCCTTTACCTGGTCCTGGCGACACCTCATGTTTGCACAGCCTGGTGTGCTTCTTCATGTGGGCTTGTTACTTCTCTGCTAGGTGGCTGCTTCTTTAACTTCAAACCTTTAAGAACCCAGATGCTATATCTTTTGATAGCTGGTCACCATCAGCTTTCTTTTTTTTTTTTTTTTCAGCTTTCTTCACCACATTTGCTTATTCACCCATTTTGTCTTCAGCGATTGTGCCGGGAGGGTGAGCATCACACATTGCCGGATTGTTAGAACAAAGTGTTCTTCCATTGGGGGAGGGCATGAGCCTATCTACAACCTCAGTGTATTGCTATATAAATATATGTACATGGGCCAATACCTTGTACTATTGTTATGAATTAATGTATTAACATATTGTATGTGCCTATGCTTATACTTCTATCCATATCTTTGCTTCCTAGATCATCCCTGTTTCCTTTCACCTTCTTCCTGCCCCACTATCACTCTCGCCCTACTTCCGCCTCATAGTAATTCCTCTCAGCTAGATTGCTGATGCTCCAACATCCCCAGGATCTCTATATCCTTGTTTTTGATTTTAATTCCCTAATTGTTCCCTGTCTATGGTGTTGTTTGCTTACCATTCCCTTCCCTCATCATCTTCTCCCCACAGTCCCTCTGAGACCATCGGTCCCGTTGCTTTCTTCTCAAGTTTGCTTCCCATGCCTATCTTATGCAAGTAGGCAGTCGATTAAACTTTCTGAAGTCCACAAGTATGTGCCTGATCCTAGGGGGGGAAAGCAAGTAGACTCTTGGGAACTAGCAGTGTAGTAGTTCTATGTATTATAAATAGTTTTTTGTTTTGTTTTGTTTTTTATTTTAATGCTAACACCACGACACATTATTACTGGATACTCTTAGATTATTTTTTCTTTAAATCACTGGCATTTTTATTGTGTTCTATTTTTTCAATAGGTTCTTCCAGAAGACATGAATTATCTAACACGAATTCACTACAAGGCTCAATCTGATGGCATCTGGGGTGAACATGAAATTGATTACATTTTGTTTGTGAAGAAGAATGTAACTCTGGATCCAGATCCCAATGAGATTAAAAGCTTGCGCTATGTGTCAAAGGAAGAAGTAGAAGAACTTTTGGAAAAAGCAGCCCGTGGTGAAATTAAGATAACTCCGTGGTTTAAAATGATTGCGGAGGCTTTCCTCTTTAAGTGGTGGGATAACTTAAACCAATTGAATAAGTTTGTCGAACATGAGAAAATACATCGAATGTGAAAGTAGGGATGAATACTAAAGTACACTTTTCTCTGTGGTGAACTTAGACTGATGATTGTGTGTTTTGATAATTTGCTTCTTTATTAGGAGAACTCTCATTTGGTGCGTTGATACTTATACAATTGGAAAGGTATATGGAAAGGGCAGCTGACTTAATTTTGTATCCTATGCTTATTCATACGTTGCTATTTGAGCAAGTATTATAAAAGAGCAAAAAGGCAATTCGATCTGTCCAAAAATATATCCATGACAATTTTGGATGATAAAAGCTCTTAAATTTTTATATATTAGGATATATATGTTAGGATAAACATTTTCAGAATATTTCTAGGTCACTGTGCTGTTTGCCAGTCACTTTATATACCACTGAATTTGTATTGTAATCCAGAAAAGGAAATGGGAAACTGATTTGCTTAGCTCCTTCAACACAGTTGTAGCTTTTAGGATTACCAGATAAAACTAGTTAAACAGGCTAAAGGGGAATTAATTGGCCTAGATCCTAGTCTGTAATTCTACGTTGATTTTTGTGGTTTTATCTGACATTATCATTTTAATACTTAGAGTCAACTCTTGATTTTGGTCAGAAGCTGGAGTGAATACTGATTAAACCTTTAAATAAACGAATGAGCAAAACTTGTTGCCATTGAGTCAGTTCTGACTCATAGTGACCCTATAGGACGAGTAGCAGGCTTCCAACACCACAGAAGCAGAGTGCCACGTTTTTCCTCCCCCATATGGCTAGTGAATTCACGCTTTCACTGAGCGACCAAGCACGAAGCCAGTGGGCCACAAACTCCTTTCAAGTAGTCTTTGCCAATCACAAAGCATGTATTTTCAGAATTAAGTCCACAAGCTGCTCATAAAATGGGAATTGGCTCATCCTGTGTAACAGTGTTTCTTAATCTTATTTAACACGGGAGACCAGATAGCTCTTTGTTGTGGGGCCTGTTGTGTGCAACATGGGGTGTTTAGCCAGCACCCTTGGGCTGTACCTGCCAATGACACCTCCCACATGGGACAACAAGCGGGATGGAGTGTCTTGGAGCGGAGGGAGGGGAGCAGAGTTGCTCCAGTGGAGTACTGCAGTTCTTCAGTCAGGCCGGATTGCAAGGTGAGGGGGGAATAGCAGACAGAAAAGGCTGATGTTCACATTTTATAGATTCAAGTCTGGGAACATATATGTAAGTATTTACAGTTGGGTTTGTATACATTTGCCATAGAGACCTTAGTTTGAAGTTTTAAACCTCATGATCCTGGAATGTTAAGTAACACTAAAATAGTGGAGGGAAAAACATGTTTCTTACAAAGTCAAGCAATTTATAATTTCAATAGAAATAATTTCTTATTAATCCTGAGCAGGTAACTAAGCACTTTAGGCGAGACTTTTATGTAGCAAGTATTTATTTTATTGAAAATGAAAAATAATAAAAATTTACTATACTTCTATACTGTTGTCCGGTTTTTTAAGTTTTTAATTAGAATAATAGTCCGATCTGCCTGCAATAACTTAAACAAGATAAATGCCAGATGGTTTCAAGTGAATTTATAAGACTATTTGTTTAGTTTTATATTCTGGAAAGTGTGAGCTGAGAGACACATACTTACTGACATGTGGCTGGTGCCTACTGTGTTACTGGGCGTGGAGCCTTACTGAGATCATCACCTGGCATTTTGGTGTGTTACCACTCTTAATAACACTTTATACCACTCTTAATACTTGCAAACATGTAAGTTGGAACGTGTTGCGTGCTATGCTCTTTCAGAACAAAACTCACTTTCATGCAGTCAGTTCCTACTTACAGTAACACTGTGAAACAGTAGAACTGTCGCAACGTTTCCAAAGCTGTAACTCTTACGGAAGCCGAGGGCCACACAGTTTATCCATGGAGCCCCTGCTGGAGGCACACTTCTGCCCTGGATAGCCGCTGACTGCTTTAACCACCCCTTCACTTTATAAGGTGTAGCAGCAGCTCGTACAACTCCTGAATCGTTCCTAGCAAGACCAAGATCCCTTTCCCAGAATATAGCTGCCTTTGCCGCGACGGAAGAGCACTCTTGTTTTGGCATGTGGGTTTTAATTTTTAATTCTGGCATTTTTCTCTAAAACTGTATAGTAGCTTCTAAAATATAATTTAATTCTGGCAAGCCAGTGCCAATTACTTTAAGAGCGAGATACAAAAATAAATAATTAGTTATGTAGTTACATACTCGATACAAAGATTATAATCATTGTTTTAAAATTTAAAAAATATTTTGGTCATTAATAAAAATTATGGTCAGAATTCCTTTTTTTGGAATAAGCAAAAAAATTGGCTATCAACAAAATAAAATGATCAAAATTATAAAACTAGAGAAAAAAATTGATCCATGCTTTTTTATAAACTTTTTATTATAAAGCAGTATTACCTATTCATAAGAGCAACTGAAAATTGGATTAGAAGAGTAGTGTTAGAGAAAATATGTAGAAATAAGAATGACATTAAAAAAAAAGAATGACATTCAATATTCCTAATGTGCTTTTTATGAAAGAGGTTGCATTAGTGAATTAAAATGTTTCCACTGTGAGATAAAAAACAGAATCCGTGAACATTGCTGATGATTTCAAACAAAAATACAATATGGTACATAGAGACTTAATGTACAATTTATAAATTTGAGGGTTTGCAAACTAAATTTCATTTTTTATTATATTTAATTGTTTTTAAAAACTAGTACTTGATCATATAGTTTTTAGCATAGGTAATTTGTAAGATGTATTGATTAATTTCAGTATTTTACTTGAAATGCCATTTTCAAATGCATCAATTCTTCTGTTTTCCTATTTTAATGTCCAATTCCATCTGACTATGAGACAGTTGAAAATACTGTGGCTTGCTCAGGCACACATTAGTATTCAGTACAACATCGTTGCTCTTCAGCGCATTAAAGAGGTCTTGTGCAGTAGATTTGCTGTATATGTAATATGTCATTTGATTTCTTTACTGTGGCTTCTCTGAGCACATACCTAACAGAGCTACACTTAACTGTAAAGTAGTACGTAATGTGCAAGGTGAGAGGAGTGGTGGTAATAAGCCATATGCTAATACCAAGGATGTGTATACAAATATATCGATAGGACAGCTATATGTAAGTGAGCAAACCTACCAATGGAAAGCAACCTGTTCCCAGTCATGAACATATGTATTGCAGGTGGCCACCATGCTACAAATGCTGCCACCATGCTACAAATGCTGCAACCATCCACCAGTACAGTAAATATAAGTATGAGGCAACCAACTGGTAATAAAAGGTTCGAGTTTAAGTCAGTAAGGTCTATAATAAATAATTGCCAAGACACTGGTGGATTCCATTGTCTCCCCAGAGAGTAGCGCAAACATCTTAACTGAAGCAGCATCGACTGGCAGGTTCCAACCACAGGAAGAACTGACCATGCAGTAGACACTCCACCAACAGCAAGAGCGGAAAATTCACCTCCGACCCCTGACCCGGAGCCTCTGATCACAGCCTTCCCAAGTAACGTTGCCACAGGGAAATGGCGTGGAAACCAGTGCATCTGCTGCAAATTGGAGGGAAGTGAGGAAAGGGAGATACAGGTGGCCGAGGAGGAGGTGGAAGGAGAGAAAGGAAAGGGTGAGGGAGAAAAGGAAAACAAGAGGAAAGAAGGAAGAGTGATGATCAACAAGACTACGGCCTTCTGGATCCAACATCTTCCAGCCACACCGTAGGTAGCGAGTCTGAGAAGAGTTAGAGACCCCCAGATAGGAGAGAAGCCATGGCGGCCCAGGGTCAGGCATGTCTCCATGCCCAAGCACCCTGTCCCCAGCCACTGCAAAGCGCTCTGGGACAGCGTGGAAGTCGAACGAGGCAGCCAACTAGGTGGGTCAAGTTCAACTAAGACAGCCAGATCAGGTCCTTCTTCAGGGACATCAAAGCCAGGATGATCATGAGAACGGCATATTCACATCACAGAGAGGTGGCCACTGTCAAAAAAACATGAAAGGCAACCTGAGGGAGAGATCATTATGGCGAGATTGGAAGGTGACATGGCTCTGGAGGTCGTGGCAAGTGCAGTGATTTCAGAAATGGAGACAGGGAGGGACCCTACAAGCCCCCTAACCAGAGCTAGGGCCAGAGCATGGGGAAATACCCCAAGGAATCATGTGGCAACTTCTCCTGCAGTTTCAGAGTAGTAATAACAGTGACAAACCCAGGATGGCGAGCTGTGTTTGAATTTCCAGGTCCCGCTTGCCTGGTAGTGGCAACACAGAAGAATCAGCATGAGTATCTCATCCTGCCTCAATCCCTTTCTGGCTTAGGTCCCTGAGATGATGGCCGAGAGTCTCAAATTGTAAGCTGGGGAAGCTTCGGAACCTTCCCTCTCCTGTTAAACTCCCCCAGAAGCTTTATAAGAAACAGTCCGTTCAACTCAAGAAGATTCATTGCCCCAAGAAGTCTCATTACCCCTCAGGGCAACCATGGAAAGGAGAAAGGGCTATTACCCATTCGGACATCCGGGAGCACTTGTTGGCTATCAGAACAGGGCAGACCTTTTGTTTTCTAAGGCTGCTGAAACAAGCCCACAAACTAGGTGGCACCCAAGGAAAATATGTATTGTCTCACCCATCTCTGGAGAGTCCAAATCAACACAGACTCTTAAACCAGACTCCTCTGGAAGTTGTAGGGCAACTCCTTTCTAGTTTGTCCCGATTTCCTGGAGGCGCCCGTATTCCTTGGCTGGTGGGTGCGCTTTCCCATGGCCACCCTACCTCTTTGTTTCTTTGATGAGGTTATCATGAATGAATTAGGACCCACTCTATTCCACTGAGCCGTGCTCTTAAACTGACAACATCTTCAAAGACATTTGCAAACAGTCATGTTCACAGGTACCAGGGATTAGGACTTGAACATTTAGAGGTACGGGTGAGCACACTAAGCAACCAACCCAATTTAATCCCTAACTCACTAGCAATTCTATTTGAACATAGATATGAGAGAAACTGGGAGCAATCTCAATCTCTGCCAATGGAAGAATTGATATCATGGAATATGAATAACTCTCTCACTCATTACTCTTGTGTCTATTCTGATCCATAGTGACCCTATAGGACAGAGTAGAACTACCCCCATGAGTTTCTGTGACTGTAAACCTTTATGGAAGTTTAATTCTCCCTTAGAGTGGCTGATAGGTTTGAACTGCTGACCTTGTGGTTACCATCTCAATGCATAACCCACCACACACTGCCAGAACTCATGGTATAGAAATAGAGTGGAAGATAACAACAAAATGAATAGTAGCTACACACATTCTAGGGGTCACCACAACATGAGGAACTGTATTAAAGGGTCGCAGCATTAGGAAGGTTGAGAACCACTGAACTAGAGGCTCACCCCTAATGTCCCCTGAACCTCAAGATTTGATCTGGTCCCACAGAAGGCAGTGGCACCTCTTCCCAGCATGCTTGTGGGATGAGCCCCACCCTAGGGGGAACACAAGATTGGGAAAACCTGCCTCTGAGGAAATTAGTGTGGGAGAATTTGAAGCTGTCATCAACTGTCTACAGCTTAAAGAGACAGAGCCCACTTGTCAGCTCAGGGTCAGAGGGGATTAATTATTTTTTTAATATTTTGATTGGGGGCTCTTACATCTCATCACAATCCATACATTCCTCCAATGTGTCAAGCACATTTGCGCATATGCCGCCATCATTTTCAAAGCATTCTCTTCCCGCTTGAGCCCCAGATATCAGCTCCCCATTTCTTCCCCCTTCCTCCCCTGCATGCCCTCCCTCACAAACCCTTGATAAGTTATAGATTATTATTTCCATATCTTA